CTACTCACCAAGGTAGAATGTAGAACATTGTCTTTATAAACTGTGTTATGCCAGTTGAGCTAGATGTTCCCCAAGACCATGATCACCACAGCCCTCCGCCCAGCAGTTCAATCCTTCAGGGAGTTTGAATGTGTCTATGGAGCTTCCATGACCTTTCTTTGTACAAGTTGTTCTGGCTTCCCCAGTATTGTGTACTCTCTCACCCTTCACCAAATATACCACTTAGCTATTGTCTATTTAGTATTAACCCCCACCCCTCCCATCCCTCGTAACCAACAAAGGTTGTTACTTTTTGTGTGTAAACTTTTTCATGAGTTTTTACAATAGAGGTCTCATGCAATATTTGTCCTTTTGTGATTGACTTGCTTCACTCAGCGTAATGTCCTCCAGTTTAATCCATGTTAACGAGATGCTTCACAGATTCATCATTGTTCTTTATCGTTGCGTAGTACTCCATTGTGTGTATGTACCATCGTTTGTTTATCCATTCATCTGTCGATGGGCATCTAGATTGTTTCCATCTTTTTTGCTGTTGTGAGCAATGCTGCCGTGAACATGGGTGTGCATATGTCTATTTGTGTGACGGCTCTTATTTCTCTAGGATATATTCCTAGGAGTGGGATTGCTGGATCGTATGGTGTTTCTATTTCTAGCTTTCTAAGGAAGCGCCATATCATTTTCCAAAATGGTTGTATCATTTTGCATTCCCACCAGCAGTGTAGAATTTTTTAGTTTTTGTTAAAATACATTTTTTTCCAAACATGCTCTTTTTTTTCTCAAGGGTATGTTAATATTTTTTCTAGGAATACATAATTCAAGTAGAGATTTATTTTAAAACCTAGCAATAAAAATTTCCTTCTGTATTATTTTTTTCTTAATCTTTAACCTTCTCAACCATTAGTTGAGGGAAATTTTCTTGCTTTGTCAGTATACTTTTATATATATTTCATGCATAACTTACTAGGTCACAGACATGGCTTTCTGGATGATAGTGCTATGGATGCTAGTCATTTTTAAGTTTATTTGAGTGATTGCATTGTTGGAGAGTTTGGAATATTCATAAGAGGATCCCTAAATCTGTGTATGAACCAGCACAAGTCCCAGCCTCACCCCAAGATGTGCATGTGTGGAATGTACTCAAAGAAGCATAGCAAAGGCTTAGAGAACTGATCTATGATTTAAACCATTTTCCTAATCCCAAACCAACCCCTAATTGTTGGATGCAAGATAAAGACCAAAGTGGTATAGTAAAGGCTTTGAACATGGAACTGACATTGCAACCATTGTCCATAGACCGAGAGACAGGACTTGTGATCTGAACTAAACTGAGTTGATCGTCTGCTAAAACAGACACAACATCAACATTTTCCAGACCCTCAAAACATGTTCTGTCATCATAAGGGAATTATGTTTTCTTGTCATAAGGGAACCTAGAAATCAGTAACATAGAAATCATTTGCAAAATCCACAAATATTTGGAGATTAAAAAATACTTCTAAATAATTAATGGACAAAAGAGGAAGTCTTAAGGGAAACTATAAAATATTTTTAGCTGAACTAAAATGAAAATACAACATATCAAAATTTGTGGGTCACAGTAAGGCAGGTTTTTAGAAATTTGTAGCATGAAATACGTTAGCAAAGAATGAGAGTTCCATTTCTGGGATGGCAGTATGAGGAGCTTCATGGGCCTACTCTCCAGCAAAGTAAGCGTAATTGGTGAAAACTATAAAAAACAACCCTTTAATGTCTGGAAATTGT